ACCTCGTGATCGCCTAATAAAATCGTAATTAAACCGAACCGTTCTCCCCCTTTTTTCAGTGGTTCTCAACATTCTTTATTTTTAACCGTTGACCGAAAACGCTCGTCAACATGAACCATGACCGAGCCCCAAATCGCAACTCGGGCTTCTGGATCGCAACCCAGGTCGGCACCTTCACCGTCGATCTCGAACTGTTACCCAGATCATCACGCTGTAGCAGGCCCGAACCCGTCCAACGCCGACCTCGAATTTCAGGCCGACACCTCGCCACAAACACCATGGCAACCAGACTCCAAGTCGGAATCAACCGTTGTCGGACAGAACTCGCCACCGCGACTGGCCACCTCATCGTCTCCAGTCTCCGCCTCATGTCGTCAGAGCCGACCTCACGGATGCCGGGCAGAGTTGCGACCCATGGCCGACCTCGCGAGCCAAAGCCGACCTCGGCCCAGGACCAACACCAAGCTGCCGAGCTGAACTCATGTCCTCGCCGCCCTCCGATCTCGCACCTCTGGGGCCGACATCAAAACACCCGGCGTCGAGCCGCCGTTACCGATCTCAGATCCAGATACCGACCACACCCAGGCACCGACCCGTCGCTATCCACCTCGGATTCAATCAGACGTGCATCTTCAAGCTTGTTCCCCAACGGACTTCGTCGCAATAGCCGAGCAATGTGATGGAGTGAATCAGCGATTTGGAAGCCGAGCAGAGCAGTGAAGCAAGATTTCAGATCGGCGATTTGAAAGGAGATAGAAGGGCCATATTTTTTATTGGGATTAATCATGAGCGTAATAATATATGGCCTAGTAGATTTTTATTTTAATATAAGGCCAGATATTTTTATTGGGACCAGTGGAATTAATTTGAATAGAATTTGGGCCAAGTAATTGAATGTATATGTAAGGGCCTAGTAATGTTGTAATAGATAAAATAGATAGAACTAGGCCGAAACGAGCAACAAAATCACGAAGTCGCGGAGCTCGGTAGGGACTCGAGCGAAAGAAGAACTGACCTCCTCAGCCGATAATATTCTTCGGCCTGCACCCTCTCCAGACCGAGGTAATCCTTCTCTCACTCAAATAAACACATATCTATTTCTCTTATCTATAAAAAGGAAGTGCATGACTTTCTTTCTGACACGTGTCCCTTGAAATTTGGTGAGGCCACGTCGCCTCTTTTCAGTACGTCGTCGTTTCAATCCTTTATGTTTTTCCCTAAAAATTTCCGACCAATTCGTTCTTCTCAAAATGTCGATTTTTTTCTCTTCTTCTTAGCACCGATCTTTGGTTTCTTTCAATATTCTTCATATATTATTGAAAATTTTACAGTTTTTTCTTTTTTTTTTTTTTT